ATAATTTACCATAGTCTTTTTTATTAATGTATATTTTTTAAAATTATTATCGCTTTTTTTATTTAATTAATGTATTTTTTTATTATTCATGTTTCAATTTAATTAAATAATAAATTAATTACATTTTATTAATTTAATTTTAGAAGATGTATATTTAAAAATGTAAAAAATGAAGGTTTGAAGCCCCAGTTTGAAGCCCCAGGGCTTCAAAACCATTTCCAGTGAATTTTGGGTGTAAGTTATTGCTGACGTGGCAGAGAGAGAAGGTTTGAAGCCCCGGGGCTTCATGACCATTACCAGTGCTCTCATAATTTATACTCGTATTCTTTTCTTTTTCATTCCACTCTCCATTTTTTCTTTTTCTTTTTTCTTATTCGCTATTTTTTCCGTCTTTTTTTCACTTTTTTCTTTTGATCCTTTTTTACTCTTTATTTATTTTTTAAACTGATTTTCACTTTTTATCATTTTTCTTGCATTTTTTATGTAATTATTTAAGGCTTTTTTATTCATTTCTTTTATTTATTTGTGTACAATAAAGATTAAAAATAGACAAAAAAGTTAACAAAAAAAAGTTCAAACAAAACAAACAAAAAAATTAAGAAATATGGTTTCATTTTTTTATTTAATTAAATTGATTAAATATAAAATAACAAAGTTATTAACAAAAAAGATTAAAGATAAAAGAAAAAATAACGAAAGAGATAAATAAAACAAAAAAGAAAGAAAAACAAAAAGAACAAAACAAAGAAAAAAAGTGAGGAATGAGAAAAGGCGGAAAAGGAATACATAAAGATTTCAAAAATGAACTAAAGAAAAATGTAGCAAACGGAAACAAACAGAGAAAATTAAAACAGTGAATTTTTTTAAAAAGGTAAAAAAAGAGGGCAAAATGAAGAAAATTAAAATAAAAGGGAAGAAATGAGAAAAAGTGAAAATGAATAAAAAAAAAGAGTAAATTCTATAATTGGTCCTTTATAAAAAAGGGGTTTCCGTATTTAGTCCTCTATTCTCAAATATTACCTCGGTGGTCTTTCTTTAATGAGTATCTTTCTATAAAGAATCCTTTTTTGATTTTTTATCATATTGCTGTTAATTTGAGGGCTAAAAGTGTAATTTCACAATGATAATATATTTTTATTCTCATACACAATTCCAAAGGCCGATCCTGATGTGTCGTTTGTGAATTACAGTCGCTTTCTACTATAGCCATAACCTACAGATATGGTTTTTCGTCAGAATCCTAACTCACAATCATAGTCATTATTTTTGTGTTATTCGTCTAACCAATATCAGAATACTTTACTGAACATAAGGTTGATGTCAAATTATACTTTTAGTCTTTAAACTAATACTAACATGGAAAAAAATTTAAAAAAATGACCATTTGTGGAAATGCACCCATACAAGAAGGACTACGAGAGTAATATTTAATAATAGAGGACTAAATATGAGACCCCCATTTTAACGAACTAATTATGGAATTTACTAAAAGAAAAAAAAGGAAAAGAAAAGACTGAAAAATAGCAATTAAAAAAAGAAAAAAAAGGAAAAAAAATAAAAGAAAAGAAGGGAAAAAGGAATGGATATAGAGAAATGTTAGTGGGTTGAAAAAAAGAATATAAATTATGAGAGTGTAAGGAGACGAAAAAGAAGAAGTGAGGGTCAATGTGAAAATATAAAAATTCAGATTTTGCAACTTGACCCAAATTGACCTTGCGGTCATTGGCAATGGCCAAATCGACTTATAATGAAAATATGGTAAAAGTCTATGTACTTTTGTAAAAGATTTTAAAGTTCAGGTACCAAATTAATTTTTTTAAAAAAATTCAAGCACTATTCTTGAGAGTTTACTCCTTAGAGCACTAAAAATACTCGTGAAGCCCCGAGGCTTTAAATGGGGACTTCAAACCTTTTTTCTCTACCACATCAGCTTTAACTTATCTCACAATTTCAGTGCAAATGAGTTTAAAGCCCTAGGCTTCAAACATTTATTTTTAATATTTTAAATATATATTTTCTAAAATTAAATTTATAAAAGATAATTATTTAATATAATCTGAGAATAGTTCATTAAAAAAATTACATTCATTAAAAAAATATTACATCCATAAAAAAAACATTCATTAAAAAAATATTACATTCATAAAAAAAACAACACTAAAAACAACTTACTAACTATACGAGCGACTGCAGATATGTTAGATTAAATCCACCGTTAGTGCATTGTGTATCTCTCGGCTTCGAATTTCTTGGCAGTTTCTTCGTTTCTTCTCTTCATCGATTTCTTCGTACATATGCACTTCCTCGTCCGGGTTGTATTGACAAATCGCAAACCCTTGGCCTCTACGATCATATTATGAACAATAATACATGAGTGCATGATATTCCTCATTTTTGTTTAAGAAAAACATTTGGACGGACGATCTAGAATGTGCCACTTAGCCTTCAAGACCCGGAAAGCTTGTTCAATATCTTTTCTCGCCGCCTCATGAGCTTTTTTGTAGGCCTGACATTTAATACTCATTGGTTCGGAGAGGGACTAGACAATCATGGAATAATCTGGATATATTCCATCGGCCAAATAATATCCACGCTTGTAAAGCGTCTCTCTAAGCTCAAAATACGAGTCGAGTGCGGTCTTATTAATCCAATTGTCAAAAATATGTGATTGATCGAGAACGTTGATGTCATTGTTCAAGCCCGCGACACCGAAAAAAGCGTGCTGAAACCACAAGTTATTTGAAGCAACAACTTCAAGCATGATGGTAGGCTTAGGATGATCCCCCTGTGAGAACTGACCATGCCACGCAGTGGGACAATTTTTCCATTCTCAATGCGTGCAATCAATGCTCCCAAGCATGTCGACAAAGCCGTGTTTAGCGGCATGCCTTGCCTATAACTGCTGAATGTCGCTCGTTGTAGGCTTGCGTAAATATATTTTATGATAAATTCGAATAATAGCTTTAGAAAATTTATAAACACGGGATCTGATGCTCTGAGCTGACATCTTTAAGTATTCGTCGAACATATCAGATGTCATCCTGTATGCCATCTAACGAAGCGCGGCAGTGCACTACTGGACACTACAAAACTCGCGTCGGCCTTTCGCAACAAAGCGTTGGGTGAACCAAGGCACCTCGCATTCAATATCGGTGAGTAAGCGTAAAAAGATAGGACGACTCATCCGAAAATGATTACTAAAATCCTCCCGTGTATAAACACACGGAGTATTGAAGTAGTCGTTGAGAAGTGAAGCGTGGGCAGCCGCTCGATCCTGGTTTAAACGTTGTCGTCGGGTCCGGCGTCGGGAGGATTCTACTTCTTCTTTTTCGCCTTGTTGCCACCATTGATAATAACTCGTGGCGAAACGGTGAAAAATGAGGGCTCTCTTTTTATCATCGGGTGAAGATGATCCCATTTTTAAAATATAGTATTTTAGAAATAATTATAATAAATAAAAAACTATTTGAAAGAATATTTGATAGAATTATAGAAACAAGATAGTGAGAGATGTGTGAGGGATAAATTTGCTTTGGTTGAATTTATAAATTTTTTTTATTTAATCTTTTTTGTGATTAACGACTAAAAGAGCCCCTGGGGAGGAGAGAATCGCATCAAATGTTTAACGGGATATGCTAGGGGTACACCTTAGGTGTACCCCAAATGTACACCACTTGCCTCTACACCATTCATTTTATTTTCTTTTTATTTTTTACTTTTTTTGAAATTTTCTTACCTTTTTTGTTTGGTGATGGAGGGGATGGAGGATGTTTGGGGTACACCAATTTCCATGTTTAAGAGGTGGGAGCTGACGCCCCTTAACGCCACCAGGGGCGGTGTTTAACGACCAAAGGGCGTCACACGGCGGTTGACGCCGGGGTCAGCCCCATTTCCATTGCCCTTAAATCCTTAATCGAACTAGGGCTGGGTCGGGAAAACCGAAAACCGAAAGCGATCGAAACGAGCTAGAAAAAAAAACTGAACCGAAAAAACTGAAACCGAATGTAAAAAAACCAAACCGTACCGTTATTGTTTGGTTCCGTTTTGGTTTTTACTTTGAAAAACCGAACCGAACCGAATAAACCGAACTTATTTATATGCTTCATTTTATTTATATGAGTATATGTGATATGTATAAAAATCATATAAACAAAAATGCAAATAAATTTCTAGTCAATTAAAGTTTTTTCTTAACTATTAATTAAAAATTTTAACCATATTATAAACTTTAAAAAATCTAAGAATATAAACACCAATAACTAATCCTAATATAGAATTATATAATATTAAAAATTAAAATGAGTAGTTAACATATTTAAATAAAAAAAACTTTGATGTTATAATGAAAATGAAAGTATTATATAAAAAAATCCAAATTCTCTGCAATTGATTTTACATACGATATCTTTAAGATTATTTAGAATCTTCTAGATGTTTGTTAGGCACTTGACACATATTTTGTAGTATATAAAATTGAACCAATGAGAACACTAACCTTCCGCTCGGCTTTTTTTGTGTGTAAAAATCAAGCAAAAAAACCAAACACAAATTTACGTATTGTTATTGCTTCGTCGAGTTAGTATTTATACAATTTTTAATGCTTATAAATATTTACTTTTACAAACTGAAAAAACCGAAAAAAATCGAAGTAAAAACCGCATAAAACCGAACCGAATAACCAACGGTTTGCATATTTTTTATGCAAAACCGAACCGAACTGCCAACTTACCTTCCGTTTTGTCTTTGATTTTGGGTAAAAAACCTAACCACAAAAACCCAACCCACCCCTAAATCGAACCTCCGCCTAATCTCCTATATGTTTTAATTTGAAATCCTCAAATCTTCAGACAAAAGTATAATGCCCCCTCTGTCTCGCACTGTCCATTCTCTCTCTCCCCATATATACTGTGTGTTATAGGGAGTACTCCGTATTCTACAGTAGCGTGCCGGATACTGCCAGTGATATGATGATAATTTCCATTCTGTGGAATATCTGGGCTGGAATTTTGTGAAGGAAGATCCCCTCTCTCCCTCCCTTCTCTGACTCTTTCTCCAGTATTTTGTCCTCTTATTACTATCATTATCATTCCCTTTGCCTCACTTTATTTGGCGCCTCCAATCAATCATGGCGACCACTCATAATTCTTCTCCTACTACTCACGCTGGGGAAGCCTCCGCGGAGAACAGGCTTACGCACTCTGCCTCCTTCAGGGCCCGGAAGAAGCCGCCGTCCGCCGTCCCGCGTCCCGGCTCCGAAGCCGATGACTTCTTCAACCTCTTTCATGGCTCCGATCCCGTCCGCCTTGAGCTCACTCGCCTCGAGAACGAAGTCCGAGGTTTTTGCTTCTCTCTCTCTCTCTCTCTCGGTTCTTCTGCAATTTATTTTTGTTTTCTTATTATGAGCCGCTTCTGATTTTCCATTGAAGCGATGTTCTTCCCTGGTAATTCCCATTCGAAATGAGTAGGATTCCATAACAGGATTTTGAACTGGATGGAGACTAGTTTTCCTTGGAATTTTGAATCTTTGGTGGATAATGCAGTTTGTACTCTAGGGATTTGTTATTACTCCAGGCTTTTTTTTTTAATTTAAAACATGAAATGAGTTCGAACTGTAAATATGAATGCTTATCATCTTCTCTGTATTTTGGGAAAAGAAAACTATTAGTTGGCGCCCAGAAAGTTTTTATTTTTGTTTGATGTAAAACCAACTGTGGCATTAAAAAAATACTGATTTGAGATCTTTTGGTCTTGCTGAGGAAATATCTTAAAGGAGAATTCTTGAATACTAATTTGGTGGTGATGTTGTTTTCAGATCTTTTCTATGGAGTATATTTTAATTTTGCTTTCTTTTCACTTTGAGTTGGATTTAAACTTCAAACAATGCCGGAAAAGAAATTCGTTTTCAGGAAGCGAAGTGTATAGTGGTATAGATGAATTTAAACTTGAAACCTATCTAAATTATAAAATGCAAATCATTAACTTTTGGACATATCTTCCTGTTATGGTAGATGAATTTAAACATGAAACCTATCTAAATTATAAATGAGAAAACCAATGCAAATTAAATTTTACAAGTAGTGGGTACATATTATATTTCAGCATTATGCCTAATGGCCTCCATATCAGATTCATGTAGAATTTGAGATTAGTAGATTCATTTCTCTCATCCATCCCGATGCCAAAGTTTCAAGCTCCAAAAACACGAGCAAGGATTCACTAATGAGAATTGTTATTGATTTGCATATTTAGTACGCAATGTTCATATTTATTTGAACAACTTTCTTAGTTTTGGACACTTATGAATGTATAATCTTGTATGCAATACCAATTTTTTGAAGTAACATAAACTGACAGCATGACGATGCAGCACTTCTTTGCCTTAAATGTCATGAGTTGTTCGTGTATCTGGATGTAGAAGATGTTTTTAATACTTTGTGACATGGACTTTGAAAGGCTTATACATGTGGAAGTTGGAACAAAGAAGAAAGTCACATAGCTTTCCAACTCAAAACTAAACATGAAGAATCTTGCAATAACAAAATTTTCATGAAGTACTCAAGTTGAACTATTCCATTTGCTAATGTGCATTTTTTGTTTAGATATTTTAAATGTTAAGCTGTACAATTAAGAGGAGTCTTTCATAGTTTCACTTTACACATTTGAGCAAAGTATAGGAGAAGCTATTTCTAGTGCAATTTAGCTAAACTTCAGATATTCAGCTACAACATTCATATTTAAAAAAACTAGGGTGTCTTTTGTTAAAAATATTGTGCTCTGTTTATGTTTATGTTTATGTTTTCACTTTTCGGAAAACAGAAACTTTAAAAGACATATGGCACTGACATTTATGTTTCCCTTTTTTAAACCAAAAATAAAGTTCCATTGTTTTTGAATTATTATAAAAACAATATATTTCCATAAACCATACTACTAAAAAATATAAATCATATGTCCAAGACAGATCTACCAAACATTTAATATTTAAGAAATATAAGAACAAAAACACAATTTATTTTAACAAATACTGTAAAACAGAAAACATCATGACCTCTTACATCATGTTTTAAACATGAACTATTGTTGCCCAAAGAATATTTCTTTCGTGTATGTGTAGCGACTTCTTCAATGCTATTTACGCCACTTCTTTGCCATGAAAAAAGATATTGTTCCATGTTGCATTTTTCTTATGTACAGCTATTTGATATGATGAAAAATGTGTATGTATGGATGAGAGAGAGAGAGAGAGAGAGATTGTTTTGCTATTTTCATATTACAACTATGTAACATTAGTTCCAAATGGATTTTTGTTGGTCAAACGATATAGATAAAGACAGAGAATTGGGAGAGGCAAATGCTGAGATCAAGTCCCTGAAGTACTCTGAGCGACTAAGAGAAAAGGCTGTTGAGGAGGTAAAGAATTGATAGTGTAGTTGTTCATAACCACCAAGAGATACAGTAAAAGGTGGCTGTAGTTAACAAGAACAGAACCTTTTCTGAAAAAATCCTACAATTAAAAGTGTAAAGAATTGTTTTCACTAGTATTGGAGGTCTAATTTTTTACACCTTTTATGAATGTTTTTGCTAAGACATACTATATATTAGAGCACAGGTTTGGGCTAGTAGCCTATCATGGTAGATTTGATATGGAGTATAATACGACTGCAAGATACAATGTCTCATAATTTAGTCTAGGTTACCTAAGTTTTTTTTTAGAAGTAGCTACCTTTTAATTAACAACAATTAGATCCAACATCAAAACCCCCCTTAAGAGAAAAGAAAAATATACAGAGTATATTATTAATCCATCTCTCATTTCACTGGAAACCTAGGAAGTGTAGTACATGAGTAATCTAGTCAATATAGTATGATGCAAGTTTCTATCTGATTTTCCTCTTTGTTGAAATGCTGCATCTAGAATTATTTTCCTTGTTTCAAATTGATAACATTTCTTTTATAATTATCCAATGTGTGCTCTTTCAGCTAACCAGTGAGCTAGGTAAGGTGGATGAAAAGCTAAAAAAGGCAGAAGCACTTTTAGAAAGCAAGGTACGTTCACATCGTTTATTGGTGTTGGTTCCGGATTGCATTTGGGATTACTCGTTTTCAAGAAGTGCTTTTTATAGGAATAAAAATTAATTGTAGTTCAAAAGGAAGTGCTTGGAAAGGAATTATAATGGAATGCGTTTAGTTAATAGAGTAAAATAGCATCTTTAGTGATTATTTAAGAAAGAACCTGATTGACACTTTTTGGAAAATCACTTTAGGGCTTAAATGAGAAAGAACTTGTAAAAGCATGTATAGCATAAGTCATCCCAAACAGACTTTTAGAGTTACACTAAACACTTGTGCAAGTCTCTGCTTCTCTGCTTTCATGTCATTTACATGCATGTAAACAAAAGATTCTTGAGGAGAATTTCATGCATTTCAATACATAGGTATCACATTGCAAATAGCATGTTGATGATCTCATTATCATTTTCAGAATCTTGAAATTAAAAAATTAAGTGATGAGAAAAAAGCTGCTCTGGCGGCTCAATTTGCTGCAGAAGCCACTCTACGCAGGGTACATGCTGCTCAAAAAGATGATGAATTGCCTCCTATTGAGGCAATCATAGCACCATTGGAGGCAGAACTAAAGCTTGCAAGATTAGAGGTATCATCATACCGCCTCTCTTTCCCACCTTGAATTCCTATAATGTGTAACACATACCTCAGCATTTGTTGCTATCTTCATGTAGTAAGTCCAATTTTCAGAGTATTCTCTTGTAAGTTGTTAAGATTGCCACCTCGAATGATTAAAGAGAAAGTTATGAGATTATAAGGTTTTGGGTTAGTGTGGTTTGGTCTATGATTCTATGTACATTATGGCCCAATTGAGCAATCTCGACCCAATTATGAATTCTATCAAAAGCATATATGTGCTGTACTCTCACTTCATAGGTAGCAAAGCTTCAAGATGACAATAGAGCACTGGACCGCCTTACTAAATCTAAGGAAGCTGCTCTGCTCGAGGCAGAACACACTGTTCAAGTGGCTTTAGCTAAGGCTGCCTTGGTAGATGACCTTCAGAACAAAAACCAAGAGCTGATGAAACAGACTGAGATATGCCAGGTTTGGCTCTTAGAGAACCCTCAAACCATCATATCTTCTTTTAGCTTCAAGAGAGGCTTCATGGAATTAATAGACAGTGCTCCTCCTTTTCCAGGAAGAGAATAAAATTTTAGACAAAATGCACAGACAGAAGGTGGCAGAAGTTGAAAAGCTAACTCAAACTGTTCGTGAGCTTGAAGAAGCTGTTCTTGCTGGAGGGGCTGCTGCTAATGCTGTAAGGGATTATCAGAGAAAAATGCAAGAAATAAATGTAAATGGCCACCCTCTCTTATAAATTCTTCATTATTATTAGAGTAATTGTTATTGCATCTCTGCATCTGTCCACTAGTTGTTAATAATGCACAGGAGGAGAAAAGACTTCTTGATCGGGAACTAGCTCGCGCTAAAGTATCTGCAAATCGTGTAGCTGTTGTTGTTGCAAATGAATGGAAAGATTCAAATGAAAAAGTAATGCCTGTAAAACAGTGGCTTGAAGAAAGAAGATTTTTTCAGGTATGTGAGTATATGGTGTCTTTACTGTATTTTCATATTGATAATAATAATGATGAGGATGAAGATAACTATTATTGTGAACGTGTTTTTGTTACTACTATCATCTGGACGTATGCAAACAAAATGATTTCAGTTAAAGGTTGATTTTAAATGGCTACTATTCAGTCTGAGATGACCCCATCAATAATCTAATAAGAAATATTGCTACTTAAATAAAAATATAAAATGCTTCGGATTAGAAGTCATAAATCCTTTTTTATCTGAAGATTTGAAACTTACAATGCAAGTTAAAATGCAGGGAGAAATGCAACAGCTACGAGATAAGCTAGCAGTTGCAGAGCGCACTGCAAAGGCGGAAGCACAGCTAAAAGTGAGAATATGTTCTAGTAGATTGTTTTATATTTTCTTATTCACTTTTCTTTGGATCCTTGTTTTGAAGGCATCTTTAAGTTACTTATTGACAGGAAAAATATCAATTGCGGTTTAAAGTATTGGAAGAAAGACTGAAATCTACTCCTAGTAAAGTTACCTCTCGTACTGCATCATCATCATCAGAAATAAGAAGCGTTAGCAATGGGCGTGCACGCCGGCAATCTTTTGGAGGTGTAGAAAACATTTCTAAACCATCCTTAAATGGGTTCTTGGCTAGAAAACCAAGTTACTCTCGAACAAACATTTCAAGCTTTTCATTGAAGAAAGCAAATAACTTGCCAACATCTTTGGAAGGGGACAGCAAGTCATCAGATGGTAAAGGCCAACCAACTGAGAATGTGGATGACAAAGATCATGAATCTGGAAATATGCTAACTTTGCATGAGAATGGGAATGGGAAAATGATCGATAGCACCAAATTGGAGAAGGAAGATTATGTTTCTGGAGCACTGTATGACATGCTGCAAAAAGAGGTTATAACTTTGAGGAAAGTCTGCAAAGAAAAAGATCAGACGGTGAAGGATAAGGATGATGCAATCGAGGTTTGTTTGTTTTTTTGGTAACCCATCTGCTTCTTACATCTAAGAGAATTAACTTTTCTTCTTCTTTTTGGGTAATGCTTAGATGTTGGCAAAAAAGGTGGAAACACTAAATAAAGCCATGGAGACGGAAGCAAAGAGAATGAGAAGAGAAGTAGCTGCAATGGAAAAGGAAGTGGCTTCACTGCGTGTCACGAAGGAGCAAGATCAAAGAATACGGCGTGCAAGTTCTGTCAGGCTGCCTACAAATGGTTCCCACACCGCCACTCGGCTTCACTAAGGTGAAACTGGTTTGTGTTTCATCTTCGATATATCGATATGCTTTTTCCATATCAATATAAAGCCTCTTTGTTTCACTCTTGCTACTCAGTATTATGAAAGTGCATGTACAGCTCTGTACATGCCCTGCCTGATCTGTTTAGGCACTAGGCTTTAGTCTACTACCTAAGGGTTTTCAGAACCCGGTGTGCTAGACTTGTTGTTTAAGTATCACACATCACAAATATATCCACACTCAAGATTCATCTATACAGGAGATTGAGATGGACTTCCTAACTCTATCACCTAAATTATACGGTTCCAGCTCGTTTATGTTGTTGCCTTATTTTAATTTAAAACGTGTCTTTTGTGAGACATGCAATTTATTATTTATGTGCCAGTGTCCTGTTTAACTCTAGTGAAATGTTCTTGTCTTTGCAGATGTTTTCAAGGGAGAGCTGTTCGTTACTCTCATGGAAATGTATCATTTGTTTAGCCACGTATCTGGATCCAGGTTCTTCTTGGGGTGACGACCAGCTAGTTAAAATGTAAAGAGCTTTAGGTGCTCGTAGAGGCCAGGGGAGACATTCTTGGGTAGACATAGCATTCTTTATGTCATTCAGTGCTTGAGAAATCTTGTTCATGTGTGCTTGTCAACGAGGCCCGGGGATGGGGAATTGTTTGTGCGACAGAAATGATTGTCGTCTGTGTGGTCTGTGCAAAGCATGAGGTCACCGATGTGGGGTTACCCCAGCACGGACCTAAAAGTTGAGACAAGTAACTGATCAGTGTTGAACTCGGTGACTAATTTTCATCCATCCAATTTAAAACATGTCGGTTGAACATGTTATCCATGGAACTCCAAAATCCACTTGATAATGTGATCGCCGACATGTTTCTAATAGTTTTCATTAAATTTTACATAGAGCTTGTACTTTATTTATATTCGTTACTCATTTGATAAAATAATATAGTGTTATGTGAGTTTCTGTTTTGTGGAATTTTTTATGCAATTTTAAATATGTAAATTTTATTTTTTTAATTCCACTAATTTTCAAATAAATTGAATTGAAAATAATTTCAATCAAAAATTGTAAACCGAAATATGCAATTTAATTTGAGATGGAGTAATAGTTATTCATTTGTTTAAACATTCTGTGTTCTCGGATCATTTTTTTTTAAAATTTTATAAAGAACTTGTGAGTTGTAATTCTTGTTTTAAAAATACCGTTTCATTTGAAAATCCTAACACATTTTTATATTCTTATTTTTACTTTTAATTTGTAATTCATTTTGAAAAAAGATCATTTCATTTAAAATGCATTCACAAAAATGTTTTCTATTTCTTAAAATTAAATTCTTGTGATTTAAATAAAATTCGTTTTATCTTTTAACTAATTTTCCTTTATTAATTGGTTGCATTATTAACGTAGAGATTGAGTGTGATTTTTCTCTATTTTTATTCGTGGAAGCTAGTGGTTTAAAAAAATTGTTGAACTTCTTTCCCCAATTAAAATGAATTTACAAAACTCAATTTAGAATTTTAGTAAACAGATATTGAAAAGTGCAAATTACAATACATTGTAAACAATACGATGCATTGGAGTAATTTACCTAAATAGGATTAAAACATGGGCAAGGTTCTCATGACATTGGGAACCAAGGTGCTAAAACATAGTGACTTTCTCGATATAGGACCATATGTTTTTATTTTCCAATGTAGGACCATTGATCATTATCTATTAGTCATTATTCAACTAAATATCTAGCATCACTTTGACATTATTCTTCTCACTAGTCATTATTAAGTCCTATTTAGGAAATAAAAAAGTTTAAGTCCTACATTAGGAAATGACTTATGTTTTAGTTCTATTCAGTGATTTTAATTTTTTTGGAAATATCACGAGTTTTATTTTTCTGGTGTAACACTTTGGATAGGGTACATATGGGAGATGCGGTCGTGAGCGCATCATTTGAAGGAGTGGCACTAAAGGTGAGCATGCACCCATAAGATATATAGTCGACAGCCCATTGTGAGCACCTACAAATCCCATAGTCGACCAAGAAGTTGTATGTATTTTGATGAGGTCTGGTCTGGAGAATTCAATGGTGTGGGTCGAGATGGAAAAAAGGATCCTAAAGACCTTAGTTCTAACAGTCTAACGAATTAAAGTATGTATACTAAATATATTTAAATGACAATTAATGTTATAGTATTATAACAAAATGAGTAAATGACAAGATCATAAATTCATAGATTTATAATTACGTGCCATAATAGCTAACCAAGGATTCATGAAGTTCTCTTAGCAACCTTGAGAGTAAATGGTTGATCACATTTTTATAGTCTATACTTTCTGAGATTTCATTCTCGATACATAGCTATTTTCGACAATTTCCTAAGTCTTTCTTAGGACATTGTAGTTCATATAAGATGCCAAGACAACTTAAACTCTATACCCACAATTTCCCTCAACTTAGGTGGAAACAAAAATCCAAATAATCTCTCATACTCAAGAGAAGATCTAGCTTTATTCACAAGATATGAGAAGAAATTGATTCTAAAATCCTCCATAAATGAAACTTCTTGGCTGCATGACTGTCATCAATCTCTTTTTTCATTCAAATCAAAGGCTTTTCTGGAAATATGAATTCAACTATCTATGGTTTACTCTTATTTCATTTAGAGTATCATAATTAATTGTAAATCCAGAATTTGCTTTCTTAATACAAAACACATGGGCATAAATTACTTCTTGGTATCACTTTCTAGAGGTAACTCTGACCACTGTCCCATCCTGTTCAAAAGCACCAACGCAACATTCTCTGGTCCTAGACCCTTTAAATTCCTAAATTTCCGGACTAACCACCCCTCCTTTGGAGACACTGTGCAATCCTGCTAGGGGAGGTACACAGGGGGGAATGTTTGGCTTCATGTCCAAGCTCAACACCCTAAGAACTAGTCTCCAGGAATGGAATAAAGCAACCTTTGGGAACATTTTCTCAAAAGTTTTGGAAATGAAGGATCTTGTTCAGAAAGCTGAAACCCTTTTTGACAACGATCCTACCCCAGAACACAGAGCAAATCTTCATAAGCTTAGGGCTCTTCAGACACAGGCTAACAAAAATGTGTTTGATTTTTGGAAACAGAAAGCCAACCTCAAGTGGATACAAGAGGGGGACTGCAACACATCCTTCTTTCATAGTGTGGTTAAGGGGAAGAGAATTCAGCAGAAAATATCCAGGATCAAGAGCAGTGAAGGGCTATGGTTGGAGAATCCTAAGGACATCCTCAATGAAGCCAGGCAATATTACTCTGAGCTCTTCTACAACCAGCCTACCTCCAACATGTCCCTATTCAGCCAAAACATTCCACATCTACTCACTGAGGAGGACAACATATCCCTTAACCAGCTTCCTACTGAAGGGGAGGTCAGAGATGCTATGGTTGGAGAATCCTAAGGACATCCTCAATGAAGCCAGGCAATATTACTCTGAGCTCTTCTACAACCAGCCTACCTCCAACATGTCCCTATTCAGCCAAAACATTCCACATCTACTCACTGAGAAGGACAACATATCCCTTAACCAGCTTCCTACTGAAGGGGAGGTCAGAGATGCTGTTTGGAATCTAGACCCAAATAGTGCACCAGAACCTGATGGTTTTAATGGGGAATTCTACAGGAAATGTTGGGATACCATTAAAGTTGATGTCACCAAAGCTGCTCAGGAGTTCTTCTTAGGAATTCCTATCCCTAAAGCAATGGCCAGTTCAACCATCATCCTTATTCCTAAAAAGGAGAATCTAAACTGCCTGGCTGATTTCAGACCTATTTGCTTATCTAATTTCATGGCTAAGATCATCTCTAAAATCCTCTCTTAAAGATTATCAAGGATCATCCCCTAAATCATCTCACCTGAACAGGGAGGATTTGTCAAAGGGAAACAAATCCAGGACCAAGTCCTTATTGCTCAAGAGCTTATTCATAGACTGGATTACAAGTGCAGGGGAGGTAACATGGCTATCAAACTTGATATGTCAAAGGAATTTGACAGAGTATCCTGGGCCTACCTTCAAGAAATTCTAGACAGATTTGGTTTCAACAGTATTACCACCAACCTTATTCACAACCTCTACAGCTCAACCTCCCTCACCATCCAAGCCAATGGCCTTATTTCCAAACCCTTTAAACCTACCAGAGGGCTTAAACAAGGTCATCCCCTTTCTCCCCTCCTCTTTATAATTGCTTCTAAGGGTTTCTCTAGAACTCTAAACCACAAAATATCCTCCAAACAGATTAATCCCTACCACCTGGGTAGGAACTTCCAGCCCATAAGCCACCTAGCTTTTGCTGATGATCTCATAATTTTCCTGAACTCAAGCACCACTAATCTCAACAGATTCAGCACTTTCTTAAAGGACTATGAGATGGCCTCTGGGCAAGCTATCAACTCCAGCAAAAGCCAATTCTACCCCCCCACCAAAACCACCCCCTCTCAGTCTAACAAGATGGCCTCTACCCTTAACATGATAAAAGGTTCTCTCCCTTTCAGATACTTGGGCACCCAAATCCATAAAGGCATCAACAGACTCACCTACTGCAGTGACAACCTCCAACACTTTGACAACAAACTCAAGTCCTGGTACAACAACCATCTCTCCCAAAGTGGGAGGATGATCCTCATCAAACATGTCCTTAGCTCAATTCCCCTACACACCCTTGGCTCCACTCTACTCCCCAAAAGTGTCATCAACAGCCTCAACAAAAAAAATGAATAATTTCTATTGGGGATGCAACGAGAAAAAATTTAAACATCACTGGACTACTTGCACTACAAAAAACTGCTGAAATGGCGACGGAATTATTCCGTCGCCAAACCCTTATTTCCGTAGGTAATCTCCATAACGACGGAAATAACGACGGAATGTGTTCCGTCGTTAATCTTTCGTTAGTAGTAAATGTAACAACGGATTATTGATTCCGTCGCTAGCCTACGACGGAATTGGCGACGGAATTAAGCGACGGAACTCACGACGGAAAATTTCCGTCGCTAATTCTGACGACGGAAATAGCGACGGAATATTCATTTTGACCATATAGCGACGGAAATGCAATTCCGTCGCCAATGGTTCATATTTGCGGAATATCCCACTTTTTAAAACTCAACCAAGTCATATTTGTCGTGCACTCTAGTTCCAACTCTGGGTCGTGGATCATACCACTTGCATTTGAATACAACACAACGCTTTATTGGTAAAGCATGATACTCAACCTCGATAATTTCTTCTACACGACCATAGTAAGAACAATGCTCTCCAATATACTTGACATACTATTAAGTTATACCACTTGACATACTATTAAGTTATAGAATTCATTACAAAAAAACTAAAAAAATAAATATAAAAGCACAAGAACTACAATATTCAAAAAAATACATAATACGTACATAATCCTCATCTAGCATCTACAATATCTAAAATATGTTATTAATAAGCATAATATTCATTCACTAAAAGTTTCAAGCATATAATTAAGTTTTTTTAAAAAAAATGATAAATTTTTGGGGGAAAAAACCCTAATTTCAAATTTAAAAGAAAATGTCAAAAGTTTACACATAATAATATACTTTTTAATTATATCATCAAACAATAATAATTGTTAATTCGAATGTAAAAAGATAATCTATAGTGTAATTTGTTTACAACTTTAAATGTAAAATAAAAAAGGAAAAAAACCTGAGATTTGAAGATGGAGTGAAGACCTGACGATGACCGAACAGCAAGGAGGACCGGCGATTGATGGTGGCGGACGAAGACGACGAGCGGATGGCGCGGCGGCGGAGGTTCGACGACGATTTGGACAGCAGACCTCAGACTCCACGCGGAGACGACGATTTCTGTCTGCAAATCGGTGAAACTGACTAAGGAAGAGGGTGTAGATCTGTTTTTGAAGCGACGGAAAGTAGCGATGGATATATTCCGTCGCCAAGCCAAAACGCAGCGTTTCAATAAAATTCGGTCAGCGACGGAAATTTTCCATCGCTAACATTAACGACGGAAAATTCCGTCGGTAATTCCGTCGTCAAAAATGCCGCGCACAACCTCCCGCCAATACTGAGCGACGGACCTTTTTTTCCGTCGTTAGTTTTGGTTGGAGTACCCTTCCGTCGCTAAATCCGTCGCTGCAATCCGTCGCTGCAATCCGTCGTTGTTTTGGCATTTTCTTGTAGTGTTGGGAAGCTTTGTCCAAGCCCAAGGAAGAAGGAGGTCTGGGGTTCAGGAATATGGAAACAATTCAAGCTTCCTATGGCTTAAAAATGTGGTGGTCCTACACATCAAATAACTCATTCGGGGCAAAATTCATGCACTCTAGATATCCCAGGGGCCTTCAGTCCACAAAAAAACCTACTGATTCTCCCATCTGGAGAAGACTTGTGGACACTCAAGAGGTGGCTGACAACACTCTCACCATTGACAACAACAACAACCTTATCTGGGATAATGGTCAGACTCGCTTTAGTGTACAAAAGGCCTACGAGAATTTGAGGGAGAAACAACAACCTGATACTTTCCTTAAATATGTTTGGACTCCCCATCAGCTTCCCAAAATCTCAACTTTCCTCTGGAGACTTTACAAAAATCTCCTCCCATTCCCAAAAAAACTAACAAAGATTGGCTTTTGTTTGCCCTCTATTTGTTTTCTTTGCAGGTCCAATGAAGACTCAAAAAATCACACCCTCTTTGAATGCTCCTACAACAAAAATGTTTGGAATCATTTTCAACGCACCTTCAAAATCTGCAGCTCTCCAGCACATGGAATATGCACATATCTTATGCAATGGTGGAGGGGGAACAGAAGCACAGATCTGCATAAAAAATCAAAATGGGTCATACCAGGAATCATCGCTCATGAAATCTGGAAAGAGAGAAATAGAAGAATCTATAACCAAGAGATGAAGTCTGAAACTCAACTGATTCATGCCATTTGGAAACAATTTTACGAATGGGCAGCAGCAATGGGGAAAGGTCAAATCCAAATCATAGACAACGATACCCTAATCTTCAAATTGCCGGCAATAAAAATATTCAAATGGACGAAGGTAGAGGAAGGAAGCATCCTGACCACCGATATTGCAATTACAAACAATTTCTCAGTGGCGGGAGCAATTTTGAGATCAAAGAATGGTGAGTTTCTTGGCGCCATAACCAGAAAACTAAATCGCGTACAGGAACCGGAGGAAGGAGAACTTGAAGCTGAGCTAATCGGATACTCTTGGGGCTTACTCCACATAATTGGGCCAATACACTTACACATGGACTCAAAAAATGCGGTGGGGAGACTACAACGACATGACGATGATACTTCGACTTGCGTAACGCTGAGAGAGTTAATTCAGAGTAACGATGGAGACGCTAGACACATCTATAGAGAAGAAAACACAGCGGCTCATCTTCTAGCAAGGAATGCAATCACCTCGGACATTTTCACTTCATACACTCACTTCTCTCAACTTCCTAAACTTGTTAAGGGAGCAATAAGAAGTGACCTCACTTGTAATTTTATCCGTCTGAAATAATACAAAAATTTCTCTTTAATATATATATATATATATATATATATATATATATATATATATATATATATATATATATATATATATATGGAATTGACTTCAGTCTGATGACATCTTATGGTAAGATGACATGCTACGATCAGATGACACTGGAGCTCACCACTCAACACTCCAAGGCTCACCAAGGGCTACTGCGATTCTCATCAAAATGTATGAAAAAGCTCACCAAGCAGACACACACAAAACTCACCAAATTTTTAGGTTGATTTTTTTTAAATAATCAAAGGGTGACTTGGACCACCATTGACCGGCGGCGGCGACAGGTGGCGATGGTGGTAAGCGGAGGTCAGCGGTCAAATTTCAGTGAACATGTGTCGAAGTCCACTCCTTTTTTTAAAAAATTAAAGTGTTGAAAAAACAATGTGAGCTTTGTCATATAACTTGATGAGTTTTGCAGTTGATGTGGGTGAGCTTTGTAGTTAGTAGTGGTGAGTTTTACGTCATCTGACCGTGATATGTCATTTTACCATAATGTGTCATTTGACTTGAGTCGATATATATATATATGTTTGTGTGTGTGTGTGTGTGTAAATCAAGATCCACATTGTGATATTTGTTAACCACATTCATTAGCTGCATCTTTAGTACTTTAGAAGACTAAGTAGTAGAACAATAATCTAACGTTCAATATCATAGGGTGTCTCTTTTTTAGTTAAATCTAGGGCTTTTGTGAGAAACGTTCTAGACCTTACGGTTCCTCAATACGGTTTATGACAAAGACTAATTTATGTCCTACAGACTTTACACTTGATGGGTTAGCACTTACCGCCCTAAATACATCTCTCTTTGTCATGTAATACCTAGATTACTTGTATAATTCAGGCCAACGCTCTTTGTAATTATATTCCAATAGAGCTAGATTCGATATCATCATACTCTATAATTACTTGAGCCACGATATATGAATATACATATGAAAGTAAGCTATTTACATCAGCGCGTACACATTCTCATAACCATTAAGGCTACAATTTTCATGGAATCAAGCTACACTTTGGAACATCCTCCGGTAGTGATTTTTGAACACAAAAAAAGCTAGGGATAATCTATCATGAGATATAATGTCAAGTGTACTAGGTTGCCTTATGACATCACTACTACAAAAACGACCAAATAAATCCCCCCATTTGCATCGTGAAGTAAAACAAACAATGTAAATGGAAAAAAAACAATTCACGTACCGCTTAGATTTTGGATCGATTGTTCCTAATAACCGATTCAAAAGGTTATTTGAATCGGTTATTAGGAATAATCGATTCAAATACCTCTTCCCATAAATGGAGCCAATTCTAGGAAGAGGCTTTTGAATCGGTTATTTGGTAATAACCGATTCAAAAGCCTCCCTTTTGAATCGGTTATTACCAAATAACCGATTCAAAAGCCTCTTCCCAGAATATGCGCCATTTCTGGGAAGAGGCTTTTGCATCGGTTTTACAACCGATGCAAAAAGTAACTTGA